AGAGAGAAATTGTTTTTGTTTCCAACAAATAGTACCATATAATTAAACCCAGGTAAAAATGAAGTATACTTGAATGCACTAAAAAAACCTAGCTAATATTTTTTTTTATACACTATAAATACACATTTAAAAGTATATTTCTACTTCAGAAGTGCTTCGGTGCACTTGGAAAAAGTATACTAAATACAACTAATACTTAATTTGATTTAAGTGCATTGAAATAAAGTGTACTACCACAAAAATTATACAGAAGAGTTTTATGAGTGTATTTCTTAGAAGTGTGCTTTGAATGCTTTAAAAATGAGTTCAATCTTAGTAGACTTTTATATAGTAATCCTAAATTTAAATTACATTGATTTTATTACAAATATATTACTAATGTACTAGTTATAGTTACATTTTCCCAACTGTGCCACTTAAGTTCACTTAATATAAATGCAGTAATTAGCTCTAACACTTAAACTGATTTTAAGTGTAATCAGATAAAGTACCAGAAGTGTTTGCATTGCTTAAAAGTGTGCTACGATTGCTTTACATAAATTGTTTGTACATTATATACCATACCTGTGCTGCATTGTTGTATCTATGTGGGAATAGGGTAATTATCCTTTCAATCTATGGGTGCTTACATTTACATGAATTACATTACAAATTTATTATTTCTAACATTCAAATAGTTCACTGTGTTTTTTTTTTTTTTTTTGGTGACAAACATGCCGGTTAAATGTGTACTAAAATTCACAATTAAACAATAAAAAAGTATACTTTTAGCACAAAGTTCTTTATATTTATATTTTAATGTGGAAAAAAGTGCTACTAATGACATTCTAATTGTGTACTTGATTGTACCATGTAAAGACACCAGTAACATGTAGTTAAGTATATCATATACAGGGAATATTAACATAGTTACAGTACATTTGAAATGATTTATTTTAGCGCTGTCAAACAATTAATCGCGATTAATGACATCCAAAATAAAAGTTTTTGTTTACATAATATATGTGTGTACTGTGTATATTTATGTATATTAAATACACACACCACACGCATGTATATATTTCAGAAAAATTTTATGTTTATATATTAAATATATATATGTACTATAATTATATACATGTAAATATTTTCAAAATATATACTGTGGTGGCTGTGACACATATATTATGTAAAGAAAAACTATTTTTTGGATGCAATTAATCGCGATTAATCGTTTGACAGCACTAATTTATGTATAAAACTATGTGGGCCATACATTATAAATACATTTTGGATATATTTATTATATATTATTCTTATATTTTAAATAATTCACAAGTCTTTTTTCTATGTATGATGAGTATATTTAAAAGTGTATGGAATATGGGTTCAAGTGTACTACAAGTGGTAATGAAATATAATTTTTTTAAAAGCACATTTTAGTTCATATTCATGGTGTCCCAATGTTCTTACGATTATCTGAGTAGCTTTCATTAAAGTTGGTCTCTTCAGTAGTGGCAACCTGCAAATTACGCCTATGTCAGTAACACTTCATAATGATCATTATTGTTGCTTGCAAAGTTAAAAACACAGTGCAGTGTAATGCATAAGCAGTAAGGAGAGAGAAGAAATACAAAGAGTGAATGCATAAGAAAATGCATTTGAGTCAATAACAACGGCAGCATTAGGAAGAGACCTGCTGTGAGGAGACATCCTCATGCAAACAATGCTTGACTAAGTTTTAAGTGAAAATTAGGCATTTTACACATACTAATAAGAGAAGCAACAAGGTTCATGCAGTATGAATTCAAATGTAATGTAATGCAACGATGCATTGACCTCATGGTTTACGTCGACTACAAAAATATGTTGATGTGCATGACAAGTCCTGCAAGTGGGTTAAAATCATCAAGGCAAGACACTGTTTATGAGATTCTTGCATGTTTGTTAAAAATAAGTAGTGTAAGCTTAATAATGTTCCTGTGGGTTCGAGGCTAATGAAATGACTGAAACTAGCTAAGCAAGCTCTTAAACATTCAGAAATAGAAGTGCAAGTGATTCTTAGCAAGGAAGATGTTAAAGGGAAGATAAAATAATTCATTAACAATGAATGGCAGGAAACATGGAACATGTCACATTTAAAGCCTTTCCACACTGAGCGCGAAAAAGCTAAACGAATATCGGGTGCGATGGAATAAAACAACAGATTCCTATGGATGGGCCATCCAATAATTACAAGTCAAGTACAAATACAAGTCAATGCCTTGCATGACAAGTCCTGCAAGTGGGTTAAAATCATCAAGGCAAGACACTGTTTATGAGATTCTTGCATGTTTGTTAAAAATAAGTAGTGTAAGCTTAATAATGTTCCTGTGGGTTCGAGGCTAATGAAATGACTGAAACTAGCTAAGCAAGCTCTTAAACATTCAGAAATAGAAGTGCAAGTGATTCTTAGCAAGGAAGATGTTAAAGGGAAGATAAAATAATTCATTAACAATGAATGGCAGGAAACATGGAACATGTCACATTTAAAGCCTTTCCACACTGAGCGCGAAAAAGCTAAACGAATATCGGGTGCGATGGAATAAAACAACAGATTCCTATGGATGCTTCCACATAGGCCGCGAACATTCGCGCAACGGAATTTTTTTTTCGAACCAGTCCCACGAATCTTTTCAGTTTCACAAAGCGAAAACACGGGCCGTGCCTGTATGATATGTCATCGAGTGACAAGATTTTAGGAGTCAAAATCGTGTAATCTGACACAGTGACTAACTATCGTGAACGACAAAAATATAGTGTAGTCTGAACCCGGCATTAGGTGTCACCTGCCACTTGAGATGACTTCATACATGCCACAGCTGAAAATATTGCTATCTGTCCTTTATTTTGTCCTTTTGGATAGGAATGTTTCTGGGGGAAACGACCTAGGCCTACTGAGGAGTGTGGATCTTCTGAGCTCCATGAAGGAGGAACTTTCTGCACTCCAGAAACTTACCAATGCCACAGGGATTTTCTCTGGCATCACTGAGAGGTGTGTGTGCCGGTGGGGAGAAGGCCGGAAGATGAACAAAGCCAGGAGGTTCATCAACAGTGCCATGGCAAGATACACGGCTGACACTGGTGGAGTGTTCATCGATAATAAAGAGACAACACAGAAGAGAGGTGAACTGTTCCGGTGGGATGGGGTTCATTTGTCAGACAAGGGAAATTATATTTTTTTGCAAAACATTGTAAGTGCTATTAGTAAATAAATAAAAACTATATATCTACTAAGCATGTGCGTCTCATTCTTTCTCAGTGAGGTGCATATATGGTTAAGTAAATGTGCATTAATTTGAACAAAAAAAAATAAACATTGCAATATTTGCCTCATCACAAGTCTGTGAACAGTGTCCATGGTGAAAGTGTGATTCTATTGGCTGTACAATCAACGCTGGCTGCTGATTGGCTGTAATATCTGTAGCAGTTGCTAAAGAAAAGCTCCACTATTCTCTCGAGGTGAGTACAGACGAGTGTTTGTTAAGGATGAGGTTTTATAAACTCTTGCAGCTACACCTGCATAGCATTTGCCTTTGTTCTGAAAGTACCCCAAATGACATGGAAATCACATTTGAATGTTTAAATGTGTAACACTTCAAATATGTAGGCTCAAAAACAAAACAAAAATGAAAAGAACACAGGGAAAAAGTCACGGAGAAAGGCTGCACAAAAGACAGAAAATAAGTAGAGTTTTATACTAGTACACAGTACTTCTGTTGAAGTGCTTCAATGCATTTCTGTTGAAATGTTTTAATTCACATCTTTTGTAGCCTTCTTCTGTCGAAAGGGTACACGTCACTAACAACCCACTAGAGTGTCTAGAGAACTTTTATTGAAAAAAAAAAGAGATTTGTGTAGTATCCTGTTGTAAGCAATTATATTATCGAAGTTCAAATGAGATAAAAAACGTGTGTCCCAATTTACCAGATGCACCTTAAAACGACTGAAGAATAAAAATCGGTTCTCGTCATTTTTTGAATCTCTATATTTAAAAAAAACACACACAAAAAAAAAAAACACGCATATTCCTCCAAAAGCCATAGTTGGAGATACGAGAGACCTTGAGTATTTGTTTAAAACATTAATAGTGTAGGTACAATAGATTTAATGGTATGGATTCGTCTTCTCTTTTTTTTGTAATAATTGCTTCAAACCCAACCAAAGAGCACCTTCTGGGATTATTTCACAAGGTCCTTAATCAGCAAGCAGCGCTTCAAGATGTCTCCTATAATAAAAAATAAAATAAATAAATAAATAATCGACAGATTAATCAACAAAAAATAATAGTTAGCTGCAGCCCTAATATGCATGCACATGGTGCAATGTATTTGCATGCAAATATAATTTTGTCCTTTAGGCATTCAAGTTAATAGGATAAAGCATAAAACATGAACACAACAAAACAATATGAAGAAATAACTTAAGATGATAATAATAAATAAATGATTTTTTTTTTAGAACAACAACAGTTGTTTCTGTGGAGTTCAGCAGGTGTACATTGTGTCTCGGTGAGCGATTAGAATTTTGAATATTTATACTTGACATTTTTTTAATTGCTTTTGCTTTTGCTTTCATTTATCTTCTTATTATCTTCTAAAAACAACTAATTCTTAATTGTTTTTGGCATTGTATACATTTTTAGGTATTTTAATTAACTTTAAATATCTACTTAAAATATTAGAAAAATACACTCTTTTTCATTATTGTTGAAAAAAAATAATTGAATAATTGAAATGAATTATTTTCACAATTTGACATTAATTTTCATTTTAATCCAATTTAGATCTGGTATAAATCGTTGCACCAAAACATTACAGTTTTTTAAAGACAAAATCTTACACTCTTTCATTAGTAGTTCTTAATATTTTCATCACATCATTGGACAACATATATCACCAATAATTCAACTCTTTTATCAGCGTGTGGACAGGACTTTTATTTTGGTTTGGCGATGTGACGTCATAAGGCTGCGTCGCTCTCCTGCATCAGAGCTGAAGAAAGGTTTGTGTTTTAAAGCATTTTGTTAATGTGTTAATCCATGTATACCGTTCAATCAATTCTATAGTTTTACCAGCGACGCAGAAAGAATTTTTGAGTGCAACATTGCAATGCTTTATTCTGTCTAATTAATATAATCATGATATTATTTAACATTAATGCGATGCATCTGCACGTGAGTTACAGTAACAGAAAAAGTGTGTCTCATTTCGCTCCCTGTATCGTGAATCTGTTTAGTGTGAACACAAATGCAGTCACTGCAAGTAGTGATAGTAGTGATAAATTGAACAAATTGATTCACAAAATGATTCAGTGATTCGAATCGGTTGAATCACGAGACACCGCTTCTCCAAACAAGTGTAGGGGAGTTATACAAACCAGCTTTTTAGATGAAAGTGTAATATATAATATAATTAAAAAGTAAATAAATACCAAATATAAGCCACAACTAAATACAAAATGTCTGTATAATGTGTTCTTTTATTCAGTTGTAGTGCTAGTGTGTTTTTTTGTTTTAAATCAAATGATTTAATGTCATTAACTCTCACTCTGACTCCCTCACTAGTGCACTACTGAACTAGGGAGCTGATTGAGATACACTTAGATATTTAATTAGCATTTTTGTTTTCTCTCATAATGTTTAACAGGACAAAGTGTCCAAACACAGAAAAACTCCTGCTGAAGCGACTATATGTGAAACACGATTATAAGATGGCGTTTATTAAAGAGGAGAGTGAAGACATGAAGATTGAAGAAACATTCAAACATGAAGATACTGAGGAACAAACAGGTTGGTTTTTATCCTCAAAGCTGAACTCATTCATCTGATCCTTATTAAAATGCCCAGCTTTTTTTTTTGAAGAATGTCATAGGACTGTTGTAAAGACAGATGTAAATTAAGGCATTGTTGGAGGACTAAATTCAGTCAAATACTTAAACAGTTTTGTTCATGTGTATAACCGAATTTATCCAACGAATGCAACACTTTCACTTACCTAATCTCAGGTGGATGTCTTTAACGCACAAATGAAAAACTACATGAAGGCACAGAGGAATGCAATGACCTAAGTGCTGTTTCCTTGATGGAACATGCTTTCCTTAAAGGTCCCCTGAAATGCTTAGAAACACGCAGCAAAAATCGTTGAGCCGTTTTGGCGGAAGTGACGAACTTCCAGCTTTGAATGCTTATATCTTCTAAATGCGAATTTTGTCACTGTTTTGGAGCACACTGCCTTATAGATAACCTTAAGACTAACATATTGATACTAACACCCAAAAAACTTTAATTTTGATTTCATGCGGACTTTAAATGCAACCTTCACGAGCTCTGTTAGCGGAAAAGAAGACCCAAAAGTGAAGATGCTGTCCCCCGGTTTCAAAGACAAGGCTTAAGCTTAAATAATTAATTAAATTCATAGGAAAAGGGTTATTATTAACTTAAACTATTAAAACATTTAAGTTAATTGAAATAAAGCTGAAATTAAATAAAATATAACCTTAGTTGAAAAATGTAAACTTAATGAAAATTAGAAATGTCGCCTTAATAGACTGAAATAAGTTTAAGTTGAAGCACTAAAATAACTCGAAATAAAAAAACTTAAACTAAACAAAAACTGAAATATGAACTATGTGAATATAAATAATTTAATATCAAATAAACATAAATAGCATTAAGCCCATTAAAATAAAAATAATATTACAAAAGCACATAACGAAATTGCTAAAAAAAAAATGTAATTAAAATTACTAAGGAAACTAAAAAAAATAAAATTAAAACTAGTTCAATATATTAATAAAACTAAAATAGCATTGCAGGTCTCTGTACCGGTCACGTGACTAAAAACCACGAAACCCTGCCATTAATAAAAAAGTATTTTAAAAGTAAAGTAAAATAATTAAATGATCTTAAAGTCGGCATGAAACAGAAGTTGTGATTGTCTTTTCTCCTCTACTGTGATGTATATCCGAGTGAAACGGCATCTGAAATGAGAGGGCGGGACTTGATTTCGTCCTTCGGGAATTGATTGGATCGTTGGAAGCTGGGGCGTTGCTAACAAAATGGAGGCAGATCAGAATGCCAGTTTGCAGTTAGTGGTGGGGGATTTCTCTCCACTGGATTCACAGCCGACACCCAAGCATGAATAAATGTTTTATTTATTAAGGATGACGACGCCGATCAACGGCACAAAACATGCCTAGCACGCGCGCAAGAGAGAGCGACTGCCTGAATGACTAAGCGCGTCCTCCATCAGGTTAAGTCATATTCATGAAAAAATTTAGTTTGCGATGTCCTAAGAGTAATGTTGTCGTAATATCCTAATATCTTTTCAGTGTTTAGAGGTAATGTACTCCCTCATGACTGGTGTCAGTGCTATAAAGTGAAGCATCAGCTTCAGCTTTTCCCCGTCGTTTATCCCAGCGTTTACCCTTCACGTCACTAGCTCCGCCCTTGCGCCGTAGCTCGTGATCGGAAGAGA